GGCCCGGCCAAACACTGCCCAGCTGCTGCAAGAACAAACCTCAACCTCCACAGTCCAGGCTAGGTCCCCGATTCCATTTAATCAAGGAGCGAGCAGAAGAGCTGCATTCTGCCTGCTCCAGACCCAGCGCCACCCACCCTCCCCGTCTCTTCCCCGAACAGCCAGGTACTGATGGCTTTATTAAATCCTTTTTTTTTTTTTTCTCCCCCCTCCTGCCCTTGGCTAGAGGGTTTACAAGCAAGACCAACATGGGCAAGCCCTTAACTTCAAGCAACACGACTTGCTTGTAAGTCGCCACCCCCCGCGCCCTCCCTGGCACCGCTCTGCACCGCAGCCACGCAGCACCCTGCCAAGTCACCAGCTTTCCCCGCGGGCTGCCGCAAAGGTCCGGCTTACATAAGAAGGAACAAACTGGCTTTTCTTCGCCACCCTTTCAATGCTGCCATTCATCCCCTGCCCCCCATCCTCCCAGTGCCACCTTGAGGGATGCAAAACACACAGCCAAAACACTTCCATCTCACATGCTATCCCGGGGCAACTTCTTGTTGTCCGTGGGTAACGGGTCTCCAATTCTGTCTCCCTAAAACACAAGTGAATTAAAGGGTTAAGGCGAAAGGTACCGCGATGCAAAGGTACCCATGTGTTAAGGACACGCTGTACCCTTGCAAAGCCATGTCACTGCTCAAAAAGCAAAGAGCTCTGAGGCCTGACAGTCCTTCCCCGGAGCACGCAGGGTCTGCAGGGCCGGGTCGCACGCATCTCACCGTAGCGGTGAATCCGGCATCAAACAGCAGGGACCGAATCTGTGCAATGGTTGTGTAAAGACCTCAGCTTCAACGCTGAGCAAGCACTAAAGCTGGTCTCAGTGCTTCCCGGCTGGAAAGAGCTTGGTCAACCCCCTGGTTATTTTTGCATCTGTGCATTGGTTCTGCCTGGTTAGAGATTCCGTGCTGACTTTGGCCAAGTGGTCAACCCCAGGGAAAAGCAAGCCAGGAGGGGAACAGGACGTAATTTTGCAGGCTGAGCGTGAAATGACAAAGCCAGGTTTATTCAGACACAAGTAAGCCGCTTCAAAGCATTTTTTCTAGCCCTTACAAAATCAGTACTAGCATAATAATCATCTACACTCCAGGATTTTTAGTCCTCGTCTGACTTCAGGCCAGCACGGATGCATACCGCCTGCCCTTTCCAATCATTCTGCCATTATTTGTCAAATACCAAATTCCAGCTCCTTTAGGACACCGGGGGGAAGGAAGCATGGCTGGTTGAACTCTTTGTCCTTCTCTCCCCCCCATGCACACTTTTACATCATCAGAACAGAGCAAGAAACCCACAGAAAGTGCACATTCCCAAAACCGGAGGCTACATCCCAGTTCAAGCAATGCAGTGGTCTTACCACAAAGCTCAGTGCAGCCTGGATCCCCTTTGACTTCTGAACAATACATTCACAGTGGTGGAAGGGTGGGGAGGGAGGGCTTCAAAAGAAAAGAGCAGCAAGGAATAAGCAATTTTGAACCCAGAAGCCATTCCCTGCAATGTGAACCCTCTCCATCTGAGCTTTACTGCTCCTCCCGGCAAGCGCTTTGAAGCGTGACAATGGGAAGTGAGGAGAGAGCCAAGAGCACCCAGTGCGTTGGCTGGGTATGGGTCTACAAACATTAGAACGTCTTAAATGTCAACGCAGGCTGGACTCAACGGTGTGAAAGAGGGAAAGCACAGCTGACAGAGCCCTCAGTGGCCTTACGCCATCCATACGTCCTGACTGCAGCTTTTAGGGAGGCTGATGAAGCCATTGGGAGGCAGGCAGCCTGCTGAGCCGTGCACACGGCGTGTTTTGGGCCTTAGCATGACACAGGGTGGTATTGGCACATGCTGCTGGAATTCATCCCCTTCACCCAGCTTTGGATGGGGAGAGAGGAGATAAGTCAGGGTGTTCAAAGCCTCCCCCCTCTAGCCAGTGTCCGCAAGGGAAGGGAGAGCTTTTTCTTGTATTGCTGTTAAATTACAAGGCAGCCATAAGGAGAGGACACGTTCTCCCATCACATGGAGCAGCTGCTGTGCAGGATTTGCAGCCGTTTTGCATCTTCTCTGCCAATTGCACAACCAGGACCCTGCTGCCAAAAATGATGGTCACACTCTGCAACCTAGAAGGAAGTTGGCACGACATCCGCGCTATGGTCCCAGCCACCCGCATCTACGCATATTAAACATCAACTAAATTTAAAGAGGAAAAAAAATAAACACTTTGTAAAGACAAGAGATTAAAAACATCCATGCTGTATCTTTGAAGAGGGAGCTGAACCCACCCTGAAGAAATGTAAATGCAGCAGGAACCAAGAGACTCTTGGGATTACTCATTTCAGGAGATGAGATTCTCAACATCTTTCTGTTTTGCAGCAATTAGCTGGTAACTGGAAAAAAATTGAATAGATCAACACTTTTCTATTATTAGTTTTAAATAATGACTCAGAAACAGGCACTTCCTTTTTCCCCAAGCTGTGAAGAGCTAAGCACCAAGACCCTGATCACGGCTTCAGGCTCATTTAAACTGCAAATATCTCTGCAGAAATTACAGGAGAGTGGTGTCAATACAAGGAGAAACAAACCTTTTGTTTCGAGCGTAACTAGTAGCAATTACCTGTCATTTGTAGGTTAAAAAGCTTGATACAGCATGTTTGCTAGGAAGAGCATGCAAAGCCAAGAAGATGTATGCGTACAGAGGTTGGGGAAGCAAGGAAGGAGGGGAAAAGTCATGCCTGCTGATGGCCTCCGAGAGAAACCGAGTAAAAGGACAATATAAAGAAGTCTGCCCAAAACACAACGCTGCCTCCCAAGGCCTGACCCTGGACCTTAATCACCGATATCTTCCACAGCCCAGGGAAATAATTAAGCATTTTGGCTCTAAGAGAGTTGCCTGCCCAATCTGCTAAGCAGACAGTTTTTGCAGAACAATTCAGAGAGAAAGAGAGAAGCAGATTCATCTGATGAGACACAAAAGTCTCTCTTAAAAGCGTTAATATCCTTTGGGAAGCAGCCTATGTGCTCCTAGCACAGTGGGCAACCATCACTCCTGCAGCAGGTCCCAGCAAGGCAGGTGATTAAATCTGCATTAGTCATTTGGTATAAGCAGAAAGGCATCGGATGAGGATGCAGCGTCACGAGCAGTAGCTGGAACTCTGGAAGCAAATGAACTTTGAGTTCACCTTGACGCCTGCTGATTCAAAGAAACCTTTTGGATCCTCTTCTTCCAGGGATAAGCATCTGCATCCCTGCCACGTCCCCCTGAAGTGTGCACAGGAATGAGGACATAGCACAGTCCTCAAGGGACCTGCACTATACATGGCAGTGACCAGGCCACGGAGCAGCACACCCCGTCCCGTAACCGGCTGCGGTCAGGAGACCTGCGTTTCTGCCTAAGCCACTGCAGCGTGAAGCCTGGATGCCAATTTCTGGACAGCACATCCGTCCAAGAGCACACTCCGCCCATCCAGGTTGGCCACAACCCCCAAGAACTAAAGGTACCATCCTGGAACGGGGCATGTCATGGAAGATGCTCCACACTAGCAAGGTATACAGGGCCTCCTCAGCCCTGATGAAGCAGAGTCCCACCACCACTTTGCTGAAAGGTGAAGCAGTGCAGAGGTACTGTGCTGGCCGCCCGCAGGTCCTGGAACACCCCATGGAGCTTGGCGTCACTGCTCCCAACCGCCATTTCCTTCCTGTGACCCTGGCGTCACGCTCAGCAGCTGTGAGCGGCGCACGCCACCGGAGCACTGGTATCCTTCCAGGGCTGTCTGGCAGTCAGGCACTGAGCCACCCCACCTGCCTTGAGCCCAGCTCGGCACGAACACGGCTGGCGAAGGCACCACCGACAAACCCAGCTCCCAAAGGGATACGAGCGCTCTGCAAACCTCAGACCTCCGACACAGCAGCCCTGAGACAACACGCAGAGGCAGGTGCATAATTTCTTGGGTTTTTGTTTTACTTTTTTTTTATTCCTTCCCTTCCTTTGCCACGACACACACTTGTATTAAATATCTTAAATATATTAATTTTTAAAAAGTATTAATAAAAGGCTACTGAAGGACACAGCTGGCAGAGTGACCAAGGGTGACCCATTGCAAAACATGGGGATGTCTTAAAAAACAGAAAACCCAAAAAACAAGTGATAACAAAAAAAAGGCATTTTTTTTGCATACGCACAGCTGGCTGGAATACCCTGGGCTCTGGCATTATTGCAAAAATGGAAGGGGAAGCAGTAGAAAAAATATATTCCGTTGTACCAACCTGTACAGGGAAGGGAGTTAAAAGCAAAAATCAGGAGGCTTTAAACATTTTTGGTATTTCAGATGTTCCCTCCCACACCCACCACCCAACCACTTTTAGTCTTTAAGCAAGTTTTCTGGCTTGGGGTAGCCAAAGAGTACAAAGTCTGCTTCATAAAGCTTGTAGAGCTGCTGCCTCCAAGCCAGTGGGATTTTGGCAAACCAGTTATCTTCCCAGCTGCTGGCAGTTCTGTTCCGGTAGCTGGGGGGGAAGCGAAGCAGCCTGTCCACTTTGAGGAGCTGCAATAGATAAGCAGCATCCTCATCCAGCGTCTCCAGCTTTCCGATGAAGTCGTAGTCTATCTGGCACGGATGGCACAGACGGTAAATCTGCCTCCAGTGCTCATTGAAGGGGGCCATCTTCTCTGTCCTGGGATCCAGTAAGTACTGGATGAAGTCAGAAAAGGAGACTTTGAGGCCTGCCCCAAAGGCCTCACTAACGGAAGTGGGAAGGTTGGTATGGTTGGAGTACAGCTTTAGCATGGGGATGGCAAAACGCCGGTAGAACTCCTCATTCTCCAGCTCAAATTTGCTGCGAAAGGCAGAGATGAGGCGGACAAAAGGGTCTCGTACAAAGAGGAACTTAGTGTACTTCTTCAGCTTGATCTTCATGAGGTGCCGGGAGAACTTCCCATAACGGCGCCAGAATTTGTTGAAGGTCAAGTGGGTGCTGGTGTTGTGGACATGTTCCCGGGGGATATCTAGAGGGTTCCGGTATGGGACCCCCTGGTCCAGTAGGCTCTCACTTAGCACAATCATCACCCGTTTCCAGTTGGTGCAGGCCACCTTGGGGACGTAACAGTAGATGATGCCGTGGCGGTCATCCACAATCAGGTGGTTGAGCTCGTAGTTTGGGATGTCATCAAAGGAGCGCTCCTTGGTGGGGAAGGTGAAGCTGGAATTGGCACAAAACTCCCGCAATGTTCTCTGCCTCTCTATCTGCAGTTTCGCTTGGTCCAAGATGTTTCTGTCATTGTGCATAGACCAGTCATAACCCCGCACATTCTCCTCCAAATTGCTCACCACAGGCTTGCTGGAGCCCTGGACAAGTAGCTGCTCTGTCTTTCGGGGGACAGAGCTATTCTGTTTCAGGCTCGAACTAAGCAACTTTGCCAAAAATTCATCCACATCTGGCAAGGCTTCCCAGTCTTCACCTGCCGTGATACCAGGGATGGCTCCTGGGGAATGAGGCCTGGAGAAGGACGTATGCAGATAGAAGTGAGCCGTTCCCACGTTGTCCCAGTACACAATGATCAGGAGGATCATGAATATGGAGACCAGCACCACAGAGAGACGGAGGAGCCGTGCTTTGGTCATCCTGACACCTACTGTGACAGCTGGCTTTCACTTGGATTCACCTCTGGCTCACAGAGTGAGGCTTGGGATCCAGCATGGTGCTGTGGAGCAGGCGCCTGGAAAGGTACCAGAAAAAAAGAAAGTTAGTTGAACCCTTAATTGCTCTGGTTTGGAGAGAATGACCTTGCACAATCAAGACTCATCATGGGGCTGACCATCCATTTCCGCATGGGGAGAGCTGTGTGAGTCTGAGGTACCCATACAAACCCCATGGTGAAGAGCTGACTGGCCAAAAGGAGGCATAACGTGTTGCAATTTCACCAGTTTCCACAGCAGTCATGTTTTTTTTATCAATCTCAAGCTTCTAGAGTCATGTGCTTTCAAGACAAGCTCTGTTTTCACTTAAAAAATAAAGATTTTGGGCCTAGAGTTTACAGATGAAAGTTTGAGAGTATTAGAAAAATACAGCTATATAAAGAAAGTATCCAGAGCCAACTACTTTCCAGACCTCCTTGATTTTTAAACATATCTAACACAACAGGAAGAAAGAGGGCTCAATCCATGATTTTAGCTTGTGGTATCACACTGTGGTCTCACCTCCCCACGAAGATGCTCTGTACCACTGAGCTGAAAACAAAGACTTTACCAGAGTTATAAATACATAGCTGAAGATGCCGTTGCCTCAGTAGCTAAAGCAAGACATCACTGACCTGAATGCACCATCATATCTAATCTGTGTGAAGGCATCCAGTAGATGTCACCTCCATGACCTTTCTTGGTAGCTACTTCATTTTGTCAAGAACAGAGATTACACGAACAGTTTTCCTGTCAAAACCCCCAAAGGGACATAACCCCAATAAGAGTCACGCATCAATAAAAATCTAAAGGTATGATTACTTTTAACTGAATGATTTCTGAGATTAAGGATGCTCTGGTAAATCTTTGTCCATGTTCGGACTCAGTTGAGTCAGGACCCCTTTTCCTGGTTTAACTTAATTTATATTTCTACACACTCATCCCCAAAAACTCTTGACCACCAAAGATAGGTGAGAAAACACTGTTAAGAGGGCAGCTCAGAAGATCTTTTCTGGAGGGTGCAGCAGGCTTGGGTTTTTTACTTCAACCGGTCCCACCTTTTCACTGCTACATGGTTCCCTGTGGACTCCCAGCCCCTTTTCACCAGCAAGCTCCTCAAGGGAGATCCGTCTCCCCACCCTGCTGCATGTTTGCTGGTCCAAGGCTCCAGGCAGAGGCAGGCTGGCAAACCAGCCTTGCTCTCCCCATAAAGGATCAAGGAGCCAGTACCTACAGCCAGGGAAGAACAAAATAGTAAAGTGAGGAGCAGCTATCTGATATTTTGAGAGAGAAACCAAGGTTTGCTGTTTTACAGCCTCTCTCTGCAAAGTTTAACATTAAAAGACAAGCAAAAAGTAGTCATTCCAGTCAGAGTCCAGCCCCCGGTTATAAACACAGAACAGCACCTACAGAGAGGAAACAAGAGCCACCCTTTCCGCAGACTTCTTTCTAACATTCTTTCTAACAACTTCAGAAGAAACCCTTGTGGAATAATTGCTGGGGGGCAACTTAGAAATTAAATTTATATTCATGCTCTAAGAAAGAACAGCATTGAAACAGGCTGGAACGCAGCTAATGTACAACGAGTCTGTACCACGGCAATTCCCAAGGCAACCCTTGATGTTGGCACCATCAGGGGAACTTGATGTGCTGACTCTGGGAGAAATTGCGTGGAGGGTGGAATGGAGTGGAGACATCGCAGACACGCTCTGTACCTAAAGGTACACAGTATAATTAATTAACTGCACATTCGATGCCCTGGGTCAGCAGTCTGTCAACTTCTGATGAAATGCTGTACTCAGAGTGAACTTTGCTTATTATAATATCATTATAATACCAAAATGCACACCCATCTCAAAAGTTACCCACCTCCCAAGGCGCAACCACCCCTCAACGAGCTTGCGCACTGAATTTTTCCTAGTCTATGGAAGCAAGATAATTTCGAACCAATCCTGATAAAGGTACGTATGACCAGAGTCACTCAAGCTCCACCTGCAAAGTAAAACATTATAAAATAGCTTGAGAAGGGCTGCATGTCAGGGAAGATACCATCGTTCCTGACCTTTAGGATCTGTTGACGGGCTGACCCTCTCTTCCCCCCCACTGGGACACCTTTGGCTAAGATTTGAACACTCGGCTATCCTAAGTGAATCCCCAGGAACTTCAGGAATCTCTATAGAGTTGCTTTATTACCCCACGCGTGTGTAACCCATCTGTATTTAATTTATTGCACATGCTTTGCAGACAGTGAATTTATCACCGGCAATCTAAAAGAATGTGTGCATCTGCTGCTTCAATAAATCGCACTATTCATTGACTCAGCCGAGTGTGTTGTCCCTGAATGCGACTGTACCTTTGAGTGTGGCCGTGTGAATTCAGGAGGTGTCCGGCTGAGCAGGTCGTGTGATGTTAGTAGTGCAGCTGGACCCGTGATAGTCAAACGGAGGTGCTGGGCGCAACCGGATTACGAACGCTGACTTTGGGCATCACTCAGAACCTAAGCTCAGCTGCCCCCAGTCCCTCTGATATCTGAGGATCGACTGGAACGCAAGGGGGTTTAGTTTCTGTCAAATTGCTCTGCCTCTTAATGCCAACAACCCTACAAACATCAGCTCTGAAAACAAAACCACTTCAGGGCAAGCTGCCCTGAAAAGCTTTTCAAAACGAAGACTGGGTCTCTCTTCCTCCCCAACACACAGAGGTTGCTCCCCAGCCAATTCACACGCCACCCCCCCGAAGGGTGCCAACCGCACCTTGTACAGGGACGTGAAGAACTTGAGAGTCCAGATATGCAAAAGTGCTGAGCTCTGTCATTCCCGAGGGAAGCGCGCTCAGCACCTTTGAAGCTCACCAGCAGCCTTGCATAGAATGACTTGCCTGAAGAGCCACCTGCGTGGCTGTGCTTATGCCTCAGGGATGCCAGATTTTAACAATCAAAGTCCTGGTTTCAAACGCTAGACATTAGACCAGAATTCAGTAACAAGCAGAAACAATACCAGATACAGTTACACATCACAGTAGTAGCTCAGCTTGTCCCAAAAGACACAGAATGCAGAATCAAAGGTTTAGGGTTTTTCCACCCTGGTGTATTTATTTATACTTCAGAGGCAGGGAGAGCCAGAAATTCAGTGTAGCTGTAGCCTAAAACGTGGCTTTGCACTGTAGCACCAAGCACTGTGTTTCCTGGAGCCAGGCTCTTATTCTATATGTGAAGAGGAGCTGGAAGAACTGCAGACATTAACACTTTGCACTCTGCGGAGCAAGAGGCAGGTATTACTCAGCAGTAATTCTCTACGCTTAGCTAGTCAAGACTGAGGATGGAGCAGATCTAAGAAGAAACACCCAGAAAGATGAGCATGGAGTTAAAGAAGGGGCAAATTACATATGTGCGTCAGCACTTCAGGCCAAGCATCTCAGTCCAACAGCAGAAGATAATGGAGCGACACTGCCAAGCCTACTGCTTGGCGCACTTCTGGGTTTGCATTCTGCCTGAATTTGTTCTTGCTTTCGAGCTGGTTAGCTGTTCAGGGCAGGGACTGCTTCCTATTCTCAATGAATAGGGTGCCCACTGCGCACCTAATTCCTAGCACACTGGGTTTCCAATGCCGCCTGAGACCTTCAGGCTGGCTGGAATGCAGCAAGCCCGGACAGCTGCACAGAGCATCCCTATATCCAGCAGCTTCAGGCAGCACAGCAGGCTGCTAGCATTTCTGCAAAGCTGTCCCACCCCGGCACAGAGAGATCACCCGCTCAGCAACAGAAGCAAAGGAGACGCCGTGTGTGGCACACACATTCCTCGGGCAAACGGAAAGAGGGCTCTTCGTCAAAGCCACCACCATAATGTAGCTTTACCGAGCACACCCCAAGGGCTCGAGCCTGCTTTCCAGGACACAGCACACAGGCCTGCCAGAGCATTTAGCTTTTCCAAGACACACAGCAGCGAGCAGCACAGAATCGAAATGACTCCACTTCTATTAACTCTATCACTGCCAGAGAGGAACCCTGGAAAACAGCAATAACACAGCTTAATTTGCCCTCACGAGAAAAATGCTACAGAAAAAATAATTACGCTGTTGACTACGATACATCCTCTTCCCAAGCACTTCATAAAAGACACCAGACTGAAAGCACAAATTAGAGGTCTCTGTGCACATCACAGGGAACGCCCCTCCATCTTCCCCTTGCCAGAATCAAAAGGAAAAGCCTCCAGGAGGAGCCAAGAATTTACATTCAAGTTTAACCCAAAGTCACCAGCCAACAAGAACGTGCAACAGGATCCACACAAAGCTGCTTCTGTGACATGATGCTGGCAAACCGGGAAACGGACCAAGTGCTATAATCATCCTGCAGAGTCCCCTGAGCAGCCATCCCATGATCATCTCCAACCTTGAACCTGGCCTGGCTGTGAACCTAGGACTCCTCTCCCCATCCCAGGCCCAAGAAAGACTCTGAGATCGCTGGCCCCATCCTCTCCTACCACAAGCTGCCATGTCAAATAACCACCTCTCAAACTCTCATTTAAAACCAGAAAAGGGGGGATGTGTCCCCCACACTCTTATTGCAAAAGCTATTGCAGATACAACTGCTCAGCGATTTGGAAACCCTATCTGCAGCTTGATTGTAACTGTTTGTTCTACGGGCAAACTGAAGCTTAAGTAATTCCTGTCTCTTTCTTCCTCTCCTCTTGGCTTTGTGCAACAACTACATTCTCTCACAGCCTCTCTTTGCAAAAGAAAGTAACTCCAGCTCACTTATAGGAGCAGTAAAGCCTACAGAAAATGAAGGAGCTTATATACGGGTATGTATCAGAGATGGGACGGTAACCCCTCTCCATGAACAGCGATGGTTTTGAAGGTACCATGCTTCCAAAGGTTTAGGTGCAGATTCCATCCCTTCTTGCTTTGTGTTTCCCCAGGCTTGTCCCTCTTGTCCCTAACTCCCCGTGGGGAAGCACAAGGCAAAGGTCAGGCACTGAGCACCAGCTCACCTCCTCCAGTATCCACTCGTTCTAATGCACTAAGGTACGGGATTTCAGGTAGCTTGCTTGGGCTCTGCCTGCTTCTGAAGACGGAAAGAGGTGGAATGAGGACTTCTAAAAATGAACAAAACCCCCAAATTCAAAAGGATACTTTCCCTTGGGGCACCTGCATTCACCAGCAATCCCTCAACTCACACAGCCTTCATTACCCACATACCATGGTACACACCTGCTACCAGTTACACTTAGGGGTGAGCAGGCTCTAGAGAACTAGAACCAATTTAACCTCCTACAGGTGCAGAACGAGCTCCCATCAGCCAGAGCAAATGGATGCTGTACCAATAACCAGAAATGAATTTCATGTGCTTGGCTATCACTCAGTAAATTGCTTCTCCCCAGCCTTCCAAAAATCTAGCACCCTTTGCAGAGCAGGGAAGTTTTAACCCGTATAAAAGACATCAGCAGTTACGTTAGCAGAAATGCACAGTGTAAGCAAAAAACAGCGCTTGCATTGCATGTTTTACTCCAACTTAGCACATACATGCTAGAGACCAGCAAAAGTACATCCTAATCTACATAGCTATCCCAGTACCTTCCCTCCCATTGCTGTCACAAAGCCTGGTTTGTACAGGCTTGGCAGCACCGGTTGCCTCTTTTTTAATATCCACACATGGAAGTTGTCTCAATAACCATATTTCTAAGATCTCCAAAAGGAAAATCCCAAAACACAGCATGTCCTGTTCACTCATTACTTCTGTCACAAACTTCAAGCACACCCATCATTCCTGGCCGTACAAACGCAGGAAGGGTCTCAGCAAGCCTCGGTGCCTGCAGCCTGGGCCAACAAAACCCCCAAACATTTGTTGCGTGTCAATACAGGGGCCAGAAA